CTAAAAAAGGTGTATTATTAACAGGCACACAGCCATGGGGTGATATGGTGCTAATAAGTCTGTCGACCCCCATGGTCTTGGTGTGTCTCATTCTAATCTTTCGCTGTTCCTTACAGATCATTGATCATTAACTTAGAAGTTTGCAATGCAAATCTTGCAGAGAGGCAAGCCATTGTCTGACAGTCTCTCACAATGAAAATTTTCATTTTTTTTCCCTCTTTCTCACACCTATTGAGCACTCGAAATGGCTGACACAAAAGCCTCAGATACTAATGTTCTCCTTATTCCTGTCTCCATGCAATCTATTATTCTTCCAGATCAAAACTTATCTGTCTTATCATTCCTCCAATTTTCACTTCCATCAGCTTCAATTACCACTGCTTCACTATGGTGCAAATATTTTAGTACTGACTGCCCACCTAAGGACAGCTCCAAGTCATATCTTAATTATCTCTGTGTACAGCCCCTTCCCTGGCTTTCGGTTCTGCACCAGCTCCTAGAAGGCATGCAACATGCAAGATTAGGTGGTAGCCGGTCTATTGTCTATGCTCATGCTGACCTCAATCAATCTTTTACGTTCTGTATTCTGACATATTGGCACCAAACCTGTACTCTCCTTGACATCCAAAAGAAATGGTGACAGGCAGGTGCCTTCCTCACCAAGTGTCAACCTAATCTAGCAGCCTCTGCCTTTCATCTCATCCTGAGTGGATTGTGTTGGTTGGGCTATATGAAAGGTTTTTGTGATTGGTCACCCATCTAAGACCTTGCAAATTTTGCATCATGAGAATGGTTAACTGATACAAACCTGAACATGATGTTGAACATTGTGTATGCTGGAATGGGCATGGACTGCAAGGGAACCAAGGCCAGACCTCTATAGCAGGAGGCTATGGCTCTGTCTATCAAGGACAGACTACAACATGCATGAGGACTACTGACTATGAGCCAGGACTCCTGCCACCGTGCCAGGACCCCTGCCACTCCTGTCCTGTCCTGCCAGAGCACCCCGCTCCAATGCAGATGAGAAGGCATTGAAGCATAGCTTTGAAACTGCATATTTTGTACCATTGCTTTTACTTGCTTACAACAAGCATGTTGAGAAAGATTATTTGATCTCATGTGAGGTGAAATCATTTTGTGACATTGCAGAGCAGTTGTTCAAGGGAGACTACAAAAGCCTTGGTATCCCTTGTCATATCCACAAGAACCATTGGACTGTAGTTCTGATCAATGCAGCAGACCAGAAAGTTCTCTATGGAAACTCGTTTAATGTGGCTATTCCAAACGAGCTAAAGGCAGCCATCAACTGGTGGCTCTTGTACCATTCAGCAACTCCTCTCACTTGGGGTGATCTACCAATTGCCCACCAGGAGGATATACACTCCTGTGGTGTCTTAGCCATCAATGCCCTTGCTCATTTTATCCAACCAACAGAGTATCCTCTCTTATCATCCGCCAACATTACCAACACAGATGTTGCTTATTTGGATTACAGAAAAGCCATTATTGAGCATCATATCCTGTCATCATGATCACCATTACTGCCACAAACATCTGTGTCTACTATGTCTCCTTCGTCTATCATACCATCCTTGTCACCACCAGTATCTGCATCTGTTCTGCCTGCTATACCCCACAAGTCCTCTTCATTGGCTCCAGGTTATGGCAAAAGGACATCAAACAAGTTGCAACAATATTCAAGCTCAAGAAGCGAAGTCATATGAGTTGTCAATCAACTCAAGCTTTGATGGAGTTCACTTACTTTACAATAAAGGCAGATATACTTGATGACGATGTAGAGACTAATATCTCTGTGGGCTTGCAGGGATCTAAAATCCCAATGTCTCTATCACTTCCTAATATAGCGCGACTTATATCTCACTCAGCGCGCTCAAGCGCTTCATCAGCCGCTCGCACGCACCAGCGCTCCGGTCGCGCATCAGTTGCGCATCGGTGTGCGCATCCTCGGTTCTGTCGCACGTCCTCCGTCCATCCATTCCATGTCCGTTCGGTTCGTCGGTGCGTATTCCAATTCTATTTTCATTTATTCTGACATATCTCCGGCACTTATGACCATATTTCGTATGTTTTCCATCATGGACCCTTATATTACATATTATCTTGTATCCGCTTCGCTTCTCAGTTCGCTTTAGCGCTTGACAGCGCTTATCGTTACTTAGTATATATACACGCATCTAAACTGTATAATGACCATCTTTCTGCCCGCATATCGTTGGACTCTAAGTCTAAGTTTCCCTCACATCTCTTAAGTATCTAAGTACAATACGAGCGCCCGCTGCCGTACATTACTAGAAACTCTGCCAATTAGTTTTCTGACTCATTAAGAGTTGCTGTGCTCCACCACCCGCACGCGTGCACCGCTTCTGCTTAGTGTGCGCTTCCGTTATAAGTCGCGCGTCGTTGCTTATCGTCGGCCGTCGTCACTCATCGGCGCTTTACGTCGCTTTCACTCGCTTGCACTTCGCTCATCGTCGCGCGCCTTACCAGGCTTGACCAAGCGCCCGGTCCAGTGTTTCCCTCCACATATACACTTAGAGGAACCTTCTCAGTAGCAATCCCCTTGGGCCAACGTATATCTTGCTCATCGAGGACTACTTGAGTATATCTCACACCACTCATATTACCCCACTTCCCATTCCTCTTCTACAACTGGAGCCCACCGCGAGGGGATCATCTGAGAAAACCGGTAGGTTACTCAGGCCTACTAAAGAACGCATCACAAGAAACAAAGTCTTGGAAGAATTCCGAAGAGCGGTCGCCTCTTCGCGCTGAAGGTTCAACGATACTGAGAGGAAGGAACAAATGAGGCTCCTGACTGTATCTATAAATGTTGTGAGGTCGCACGTTGCCTAGTCTGCTATACTTGAGATGACAAGTGCGTTCGACCCTAAAGGGGAAGCAAGTGCAGCAAGGATCTAGAAGTAGGCGCTACTGGTTGGCTGATGTGAAGCGCAGGAAAGTGCAGGTGTGCGCAAGGCGTGGGAAGCGCGCGCATGTGAGCGGAAATGAGAGAGTAAGATTGAGTTTGCTTAAGTGATGATTAGATGCTAGACAAGAGGTGAGAGTTGCAAGCTGAGAGACGTTCTATGCAAGGTGCCAAGGAATAGATTTCAACTATCTTCTGCTAGGTAGTAGGTGGGCGAGTGGGAGGTAAAGTGGAAAGTGGGTAATAGTATGTAATGCTGGCGCTTATATGGCGCCTAAGCGCTGTCATGCGGAGCTGAATCGCTACCGAGTAAGGTATGCAAAGATATATGTATGTAAGTAAGGGTCCATGATAAAAATAAAGGTGGAACAATATGCAAATAAGGGCAAATGGGAACATACACACTAGAGAGCTTGGTGGACAGTGGATGGATGCGTCTGGATGGCTGGCGCTATAGGGCGCTCAAGCGCGGGAAAGCGCGCGCGCGTATACATCGTAAAGCGAGGGAAGTCGTGCGCGCATGCTGCGCATTGCGCAGGAAAGCTGCGCCTCATAAGGGAATAGCTGCGGATAGCATACAGAGTGATGCTGCAAGTTCGTGCTGTGTACTCCCTAGTGAAAACTGCCATATCACACAATGAGAGGCATGAGTCTCTACAGCGCCTATCCACCATTCAGGAAATTTTGACTCTGGTCAAATACAACCGGCCGCGGAACTTCTCGGAGCTGACGTGCCCTGACCTATCCCTATTAACGCCAAACCCATTTGCACCCGCATCGCCGGTCACACCATCACCCAAAGAATCAGTGCACGGCAAATCCTCGGACGACTTTGAATCACATGACCATCCCCGCAATCTGCCGCCCGGCGCGTTTGTTGAAATGCCTAAAAATCCTTTAGATCCGAACTTTATTTCTTTGTCTCCGCTTACCCCGCTAACCATTTCTAGTGCGACCGTCCAAGAAGAACCTTCATCTCGGATACGCGCGCCGCTAACAAGCATAGCGCCTGTTGTTAAAATGGAACAAACGGAACCCCTAATTGGGCCGAACTCTATTCGGAACCGCTGTAGAGACTGACATCTCTGTGGCCTCATAGAGGTCTAATTTCCGATACACGTATCAATGCTAATCATACCCGAATCATACCCTATCATATCCGACTCAATACGCACTGAACCCAAAAACATCGGACATCGGACATCGCACTTCGCACTATCGGACTATCGGATATCGTGCCCATTTGTCCTACCTATGTCCTGTGTCATTTTGCTAGCCCCACTAGGTGCGTAGTTACTTGTTTTCACATCGCTAACATTGTAGACCACATTATTACATGTCCGCAGCACCTCATGTCTTATTACATAGGACATCGGACCCGAAAATATTGCGCTACAACTTTCGCCTATATGGTTCCGGACTTCTACGTATCTACATAAATATTGGACTCCCCATAGCATTACCATCATCCAAGTAGAGGAGAGCTGTTCTCTGACGCTTAGGGGTCAAACCCGATATTTCGTAGTTCTTAGTTGACATTGCGAATATCATCGTTCCTTCACCGCCCGTATCCATCATCGTTATTATTGCGCACACCACTCACTTTCCCGACGCTCACTATAGTGTTGCTATTAGTTTCTGATACCCCGAACCCGAACCCGATAACCCGAAACCCCGAAAACATCGAACCCGACACTTTTTGCATTGGACATCGTAATTATACCTTCGGACATTGTTTCCCGCGCTCGGACTATTGACCCCACATCACTCACTGACCCCCAAAACTATTCCCAGACCGCAGACCCCTGGGTCAAACGCACTTGTCTCACCAAGTATAGCAGACTAGGCAGTGCAAGACCACAACATAAAGATATCAGTTTGGAGCCATCTTTGTATAGCACCACTCTGTGTTGTATTCCTACACCGGGGCCACAGCTCGGCTTCATAGGGCTAGGGCTCAGTGGAATTGCAGGCCAAGCCGCCAAGCATGGCTCAGGCTTGGTCAGGCTTTGGTCAGGCTCAGGCTGGGGCTTGGTATAACAAAAATGTACTACAACATATCTAGCATTTGAACAAATACATCACCATCCTCAGAATCCATGCACTCGTCATCCTCTACCAATGTGTCCCAAGAATCCCCCAAGTCACCATCACCCTTCTCATGCTTGTCTAAGTTCTCGTCAACCTCTGTCATGATGGAAGGGTCCTCACAAAAGGCAGACCCTGCTTGAGCATGCATTTGAGGCATTGAAGAGCCTCCATGATGTCGGCCTTCAGACGGTTCCTACGCTTGCTAATTGTGATCCCTGCAGATGAGAAAGCCCTCTCGCTCAACACTGATGATGCTATTATTGAAAGGAAATCGCGTGCAAGTGATGCCCAAACAGGATACCGTGGCAAATTGATACACCACTACTGGACAATAGTCATCTCACCCAAATAATCCTTCGAGTTAAGGTAAGCGTGAAAATCATGTAGCCAGGGCTTTGAGGGATCCACAGAATCCAAAATGGATATCGAAGATGTGCGGGACAGTGCCGAGGGAGCATGCTGAAATGTTTCTTCTTCCTCACCATTGGAAAGCTCATCCAACAAAGCATCCAGTTTGTGGTTGCCAGTGCTAGCTGTCTGGAGGTCTGCAGATGTCAGTATCCTGTTGGTGCTGTCTCCATACATCTTGAGATAGTGTTCCTTATACTTGAAGATAGCGTCAATGAAAAGTCCGGCAAAGAGAGGCGGAAAACACACCATAGATTCAGTATTTTGTAGTGCATCATGAAGCAACTCTTCCCCCCAATAATGGTTAATATGAACTGCCTTTTGTGTGGGGTCAAGAACTAGCACAGTAACATAAGACTCGATCATTAGTATGCGGGCTGTCATATCCCGCATTCCGGACCAACATCCGACGATGTTCCCACGCCTCATCCGGACCTCCGGACCTCCTGTCCATGTCTCCAGACCCAATCCTCTATCCGTCCGGATCCCTGTACTCCTGCATCTGATATCCGGACGCCAGATCTGATATCCACATCTCCGGATCTCCGGATCCGACCTATCTGTCATGTCCGAACCCAAACCTTAAATCAGCGCCCATCCCCTTATGGTAATCACCTGTCTCCGGACTTCCGAACATCCGGATCCGACCCACCTCTATCTTCCTTGTGTTCCGGACCCAGACCTATCACGCATTCATCTCCGGACATCCGGATCCGACCCGCGTCTATCTTCCGTGCCTTATCCCTTTGTATGTTCCTTCTTGAGTTAGACTTCCTCATTTTCCGTACCTCATTTCATTTCCGGCTTTATTTTCCTATGTCTTCATCTCCGTCTTCATTTACTATTTTCCGATAGACTAGTGTTTGACTTTTCTACATCCTCCGTCCACAGCCTCGCATAGCTTTGGACTGCGCTGACTGACTCTCCGTTAAGTCCTCTGTAGTATATAAACTCTGTAGAATCTTTGTACTTCCTCAGTCTGAATATCATACACATATTAGTCCTCGCACTAGCCTTCACCCTAAGTCCTTGTAACAGTTCTAGTCCTCCGACTTAGTCATTATCCATCTCAGGCCTAGGGAGAAATTCCCTAGGCCGGAGCTCTGCTCCTCCGCTCCTCCACTCCTCCGCTCCTCCGCTCCTCCATTCCTCCGGAACTTTCCCGTGGTCCTCCGGACCTATTCTGCTTCGGACTTTGTCCTTGCAGCCTTTCCTCTGTTTGCTTCTACTCAGGACTTGTCCTGAGTAGCCATTACACATATCCCTGTCAGGACGAAACTCCATCGTAATTTCCGGAAGTTCCTCCGGAACTTTCCCGCACTCATCCGGAAGTTTCTCGCACTCGTCCGGAAAGTCCTTCCGAAGTTTCCCACGCTTCTCCGGAAGTCCTTCGGACTTCACTGGACTTTCTCCGGACTTCATTCTGAAGTTAAGGGCACATACTCGGGTAAGGGGCACAGCGCACAAGCTGAAGCCAAGCCCCTTGGAATCAGTCCTACCCTTTGTGCATGGTCTTAACATGGGCAAACAACACCAAAGATGACAGACATACACATTGACATTATATGAGCATCTGAGTGAGCTGATTTCATGTAATATTCTGAAATCTTGGCGATCCCGGCATCCAATGCATCATGAAAATCGATGTACTTGAGTCGTCCAGAATGGGAGGACCATGCATTATGCAGTCCTTCGAGCGCAGGCAATGCTAAGTGCAGTGTTGGTCCCTGGTCCGTCGAAAACGAGTGCTGCGCCAATTCTGCAAACTGATTCACATGAGCAGGAGTAGTAACAATAATACAAAAACTTATGCCAAGGAGGGAGAGAAGTCTCTGGACACGAGTCCATTCATCGTCAGACAGCTCTAAGTGAGCGAGTTTTTGGCGCCGGCGGACATCCTTTTCTTGTAATGCAAGTCGACCAACAAAATAATTTACGTCCTAATGGAAGGGTGAGGACAAGGAGACAATGCAAGTGGTAAGACACAGATCTCGAAGTTCATATGCTCGACGCAACATGACAAAGGTAGATGACCATCGAACCTTCATATCAAGGAGGAATTGGTGAGGATTGATGACAGGAATATGGTCATCCTCCTCACACAGTTGAATCTTGTGGAAAAGTTCCTTGCGGGGGGCTGAAGAACGTTCCTAGTTTACAAAATGATCAGCTGCATCAACAGATACTTAAAATCAACACAAACCTTCACTGAAATTGACTGGATAAGGCCAACTTCATCTCGTTGCCCATCACACGATGCAACAAGGTCATCATCAGGCTTGGTTGCATCAACATGCTTCAATTTGCTGTGGGTCATGAGAAGAGCTTGCGTGGCGAGATTGATTATATGCGCAAGGCACCTGATTGAGTATGAGTTAATACAATACCACGATTCATAAAACAACAAACTTACCTGAGCCATTGTTTTTTGTGATCATATTTCTTTTTCATGTGATCTTCAATATGCTTGCCAAAGTATTCCATCATGGTGTCGTTATTTGTCGCATTGTCACACGTAACATACCCAACCTATGTGAGAGCCTCGTAAGTTAACATAAAACATGAAAATATACTACATACCTTGTGAGCCATGCCAACCCGCTTCACGACTTTGAACAGTGCTTGACTGAGGCACTTGCCATTGTGGGCATTGTTCAAGCGGGTGAAACCGAGAAGTGCGCTCTCTACCTTCCAGACACCAAGACTAAGTTCTTCAACCCAATGGCCGGTCACTGTGAAGTACCCATCTGTGTTCTCTGCCTGCCAGGCATCACAGGTCATATTGACATGGCCCTTCACAGCTTCACTCTATACATGGGAAGGTAAGTTATTTGAATCACAGGATACTAGTATACACTCACCAATAACCTCTTGCGAAGGTTTGTAAGGTTCTGCTTGAATAAGTCAATGATGGCGCATCGTGTCTGTCTGCGATCGGGTAATTTGACTCCATTTGTTGCATGCGTAGCAATGTCAATCATATTCTTGAATGCCGGGTGTTCGAGTGTATCAATGGGCTTGAGACGATACAAAATTGAGTAAATCATGTAAAAAAAATGACCTGGAAATCAAACTACCTGATCAGTTGCCATCAACCATTCAATCGCAGCCTCTCGGAATAGGGCATCAGAATATGGAACAATGCAGGCCTTTGGCTTGCGCTCCTCTAAGTGACCACCTATGTTCATCTGCTTGTCAGCTGCAGCTTCCTCTCGCCGGCGCTTGGTGTCTTTGGGGAGCATGGAGGGAAAGTTGTTTTGCTTGGCCCATTTTAGATATGATGCCTGCATGTTTCAATCCGATTTTAGGCGCGAAACTGTTAAGAACGTGCTCAAGGGTCGGATCCAAAGGGCTTGGCTTCAGCTCGTGCACTGGGCCCCTTACCCGAGTACGTGCCCCTAACTTCTGAGGGTTGTTGAACGATGTCCGAAGGTTACTGGACGATGTCCAGAGGGCGTCGGGCGATGTCCAGAATACGATGTCCGATGCGCGGGAATTCCGGCGGACGTTCAGAAACAAGAGATAAGATTAATCCAGACGAAGTCCGAACTAGAAAGGAAACAGCGGAGGACTACCAGAGGTAGAGGCGGAGGTGACAAGTCTATAGGAGTCGATCCTAAGATGAGCGGAGGTCGACGAGAGAGAAACTCAAGTCGGACGGAGGAGGGAATGAGCAGAGTCTAAGATGATATTCGAACTAAGGATGTACATAGATTCTACAGGGTTCATATACTACTGAGGACTTATCGGAGAACAGAGATGCGTAGTCCGAAGCTATACAAAGCTGTGGACGGAGCGTATAGAAAAGTCAAACACTAGTCTATCGGAAAATAGTAAATGAACCCGGAAATTAGAACAGATGAAAATAAAGGCGGAAATGAAATGAGGTACGGAAAATGATATAGTCTAACTGGAGTAGGAACGTACAAAGGGATAAGGCACAGAAGTTAGATGCGGGTCGGATCCGGACATAGATAGACGTTGGCCGGATCCGGACTTCCGGAAATGATGTGTGTGATAGGTCCGGGTCCGGAACGCGGGATATGACAGAAACGGAGGGTAGCAAGTAGATTACTTACCCGATGTGCAGCTTCTTGATGGCGGCGCAATGTTGTGACCTCATTGACGAATGGCACCACCTGTCTGTGTGATTTTCTGACATAAATGAATTAGCATTAAGGTTGAGTTTTAATGGGGCCACTTATGTGCATGCATCGCAGTCACGGTATCGCTTGCCATCCTTGAGGTATGAAGCTGAGAACAACACATCAATATCACAACTGCATTGTTCACGTCGGGGCTTCACCAGTTCGTCGATGTCCAGTACCTCAATGTCTTCGAGGAAGCCTTCAGCATCAATAACATCCACACTGGCCAGTGCATCTGTCATGCATTTTTGGATGTGTTTGTTTGCACGTTTGACAGGGGAAGCAGTCGCAGAAGTATTGTCATTGTCAGGCACAAACTCATCCAGCATGCATTTGTGCACGCATTTTTTTGTGGCTTGGTCAGGAGGGGCACTAGGTTCGTCATCATCAATGACAAGAGCCTTACATTTGGCAGCCACTGCTTCGTGAGCCTTCCTGTGCGAAGAAAGTTCTAAATCAGCAGCATTATCAGCACTAAGTACCTTGGCAGTCGGAGCACTGGCCCGTTTGGGACATGTGGGACGTGGCGCTTGTTCAATTTCCACATCGCTGGTGGGAGAGTTGATGTGCGGGGCCATTTAATGGCCTAGTGCGGGGATTGGGCGAAATTATACCCTTCCTACATACATAGAGGTAGATTAGCATGTATCTGGTACTGTACAGAATAGCGGAGAATGCCGTAATATGATAGGCATTTGTGAGTACTGAAATTTGAAAGCCGGGGCTCAAGCCTGCGGCTGAAAGCTTGAGGAAACACAAGCCGGCCTTGAGCCCTCAGAAGCCCTACCTAAGGCCTGGCTCAGCTCGGCCCGGCCCGGCCCAAGGCTTTGGGCCAGGCTTTGCACAACACTAGTTGGGACTAGGCAGTGAATTAAGAAAAATAACTGAAAAAAGGCCACTCATTTTTAAAAAGAAGTGAAAAGACATGAAAACCATCAAAAAGTCCAAAAAAGTCGTGATTAAGTAAGTCAATATTTTATTGATATAATCTGTTACAGAAAAGATTGGTCAAGTAAGATCCCGGATGTGAATGATAGCCTTCACTGGATTGTATTACAGCTTGATTGTCAATGAGAATGGATACCAGGAAGGTAGGGTCTACCTTTGTGGCCAGTAGTTCAGCCACTAAGTTCAGTCTGATAGCCTCTCTTTCAAATATGGTGCATTCCTCATCCGTGCTAAGGCGATAACAGAGGGTTCTTGGATGCTGGCCCATATGAAATAAGGTTGCTGTGGCCCTGATCTTACCTTGATGGCCTGATTCATCACTGTAAATTTGAATATCATTAGTTAGTTGAGTATGCTCCTCTATGGCTTGCTGTTTAGACTTAGCTATCCAAACTTTGTGGACATTGGAGCTTTGAGGGGGTTTGCATGCTGGAATGAGTGATTCAATATTGTGAGGGATGTTGGCAAAACAGTAGGTGAGAAGATGGAGAGAGGAGTGGTGAGCCCCTATGTAATGATTGGCAGCGCATTGTACAGGATTGTGAAGAGGGTGAGATCTGGGATGAGTGGTAATATGGACTATTGCACAGTGACACACATTTTGCAGGAGGAGTGACATGGGAAGAAGGTTGGCATGGACCTTAAGGAGATCAGTAGGGGTTGTTCACATTGCTCCTGTGATGACTAGAGCTGCCAGACACTGTATGAAGCTGAGGCATCTGGCTATTCCAATTGAGCCATGCTGCAGGAGGTCTGAACCATTGCAGTACATAGGATTGAACCACAGATCTGTGGCATAGAGTATCTTGGGTGCCACTACTGCCTGGTAAAGCTGTCACATTAACTGTAGTAGGATGCCTTTAGTAGCAGAGGAAAGTCTACCTAGCTGGAGAATATTGGCTGTTCCCTTTGCCACTGCATTGTCAATCTGTGCCGTCCATCTCAGCTCTTGATCTACTATTACTCCTAGGAATTGATGAGTTGGAGTTGGGTGAATGGTGGATCCTTGGATGTGCATGTCAGGGCATTCTTGTTGACGGTGTAGAGACTCATGCCTCTCATGGTGTGATATGGCACTTTTCACTAGGGAGTTCATTGCATGAACTTGCAGCACCATTCTGTGTGCTATCTGCAGCTATCCCTATATGAGGCGCAGCTTTCCCGTGCAATGCGCGCCATGCGCGCACCATTCCCGTGCTTCGCGATGTATATACGCGTGCGCGTTCCCGTGCTTGAGCGCCATATAGCGCCAGCCATCCAGAAGCATCCATCCACTGTCCACCAAGCTCTCTAGTGCATATATTTCCATTTCCCTTATTTGCATATCATTCCACCTTTATTTTTATCATGGACTCTCACTCATATATATCTTTACATACCTTACTCGGTAGCGATTCGGCTCCGCATGACAGCGCTTAGGCGCCATATAAGCACCAGCATTACATACTGAACTCACTTTCCAACAATTACGGGACCTCCCACTTACCACCCACATACTACCTAGGAGAACATAGTAGAAATCTATTCTTTGACACCTCGCGCTCGTATCTCTTGTCTAGTATCTAATCACCACTTAAGCAAACTCACACTTACTCTCTCTCATTACCGCTCACGCGCACGCGCGCTTCCCGCGCCTCGTGCGCACCTGCGCGCTTTCTCGCGCTTCGCATTGGCCGACCAGTAGCGCCTTCAGCGCACACTACTAGATCCTTGCTGCACTCACTTCCTCTTTAGGGTCGAACACACTTGTCGTCTCAAGTATAGCAGACTAGGCAACGCGCAACCTTACAACATTTACAGATACAGTCTGGAGCATCATTGTTCCTCTCAGTATTGTAGTTTCTACAACGGTTCATAGAGAAATCTATTAGAGCAAACTTGTTAGTTTCAAAATTTGAATTATGAGCTTTGGAACAGTTGTATGCTCCTCCAGGGTGTTCTAGCATATGTGTGAGGATGGCATGGGTGGATTCAAAATCTTTGCTAATGGTGACTAGGGTGGTATCATCTATGAATGCTAGTGTGAGCTCTTTGAGGGCTTTGTTACCATGACATTTCTTGGTGATGTCAACTAAGTCTGAGCTATAGATTATGTACAAGATCATAGATAATGGATCCCCTTGGCCAATGCCATTATTGATGGGGATCCAGTCAGAGGTAAAATCATTGAACTTGAGCTGGGTTTTGTGATATAGAAATACAACACAGAGTGGGGCTATACAAAGATGGCTCCAAACTGATATCTTTATGTTGTGGTCTTGCACTGCCTAGTCTGCTATTCTTGGTAAGACAAGTGCGTTTGACCCAGGGGTCTGCAGTCTGGAAATAGTTTTGGGAGTCAGTGAGTGATGTGGGTTCAATATTCTGAGTGTGGGAAACAATGTCTGAAGGTATAATTACGATGTCCGATGCAAAAGCATCAGGTCCAATGTTTTTGAGGTTTTGGGTTATTGGGTTTTGGGTTCAGTGTATCGGAAACCGATAGCGAGCATTGGGAAAGTGAGTGGTATGCGCAATAATAACAAAGATGGATATGGACGGTGAAGGAACGATGATATTCGTAATGTCAACTAAGAACTATGAAATATCGGGTTTAACCCCTAAGTGTCGGAGAACGACTCTCCTCTACTTGGATGATGATGATGCTATGGGGAGTCCAATATTTATGTAGATATATATAAATCTGGAATCCTATAGGCGAAAGTAGTAGCGCAATATTTTTGGACCCAATGTACTATGTAATAAGACATGAGGCGCTGTGGACATGTAATAATGTGGTCTACAATGTTAGTGATGTGAAAATGAGTAACTACACACCTAATGGGGCTAGCACAATGAGACTGGACATAGGTAGGACAAGTGTGCACTATATCTGATAGTCGGATGCAAAACCTGATGTGAAGTTTGATGTGCGAAGTCTGAAGTCCAATGTCCAATGTTTTTGGGTTTGGTGCATATTGAGTCGGATATGATAGGGAATGATTTCGGTAATGATTAGCATTTCAACATGCATTGGAAATTAGACCTCTACAAGGCCACAAGGACTTCAAGTCCTATACTGCACTGCAGCCGCATTTTCCTGCGCCTTCGGCTTTTGGCTGCCGCTTTGTTCCCCCATGTGCACCTGCTGCTTTCCCACACTTCGCATCAGCTGCTAAGTGGCACTTTCTGCACTCATCTATAGACCTTTGCTACACTAGCTTCCCCTTCAGGGTTGAATGCACTTGTCCCACAAGTATAGCAGACTAGGTATTGGATGACCTACAACATAAAGATATCAGTTTGGAGCCTATAGCACCACTCTGAGTTGTAAACCTACACCGCTCAATCCGACACTTTCCTGTTCAACCTGACATTTAGGCTGATTTGGCCAATGGAATTCTGCACACTTGTCCTTCCCATGTCCTGTCCTGTTTGGCTAGCCACACTAGGTATGTAGTTCTTCATTTCACATGTTACTCACATTATAGCTAGCACTATGACATGTTTTCCCATTATCCACAGTACCTCATGTTGTTTTACATGTACTTCAGATCCAAAATATTGTGCTACTACCTTCACCTATAGGTTTCTGCATTTCTATGTACATACATAAATATTGGACTCCCCACAGTATCACCCATTACCCAAGTATTAGGGAGCCATTTCCTGATGCTGAGGGGTTAAACCCAATATTTTGTGGTTCTTAGTTGACATTGCAAATATCACTGCTGTAGCACTCAGCCTCGTGCTGAACATGTATTCAGCTATTTCCCAATGCATGTCTAACACCCATCGCACACAAATCACTTTCCAATGTTATTTGATACTTACCCACTCAATCCGACATTTATCCACTAATCTGACATAGTCCGACACTAATCTGACAGATCCGACGTTTCCTGCGCATCAGACCCAATATTTTCCCACACACCTGTCCTCCCTATGTCCTGTCCTGTTGCATCTATCCCCACTAGGTGCGTAGTTATCTGTTTTCACGTCGCTAACACAGTAGACCACATTATTACATGTCTGCAGTACCACATGTCTTATTACATAGGACATCGGATCTAAAAATTACCGCTACTACTTTCGCCTATAGTGCTCTGAAATTCTACATAGACACTATATATTTTGCATACCTCCTACTTACTCATTTACCTTTCTACCTCTGAGTAGGCGGAGGTCATTAGATATTTGTAGTTCTTTGTTGAATTCTGCAAATATCATCCTTTCCTTATCCAAAACACTCCAAAAACACTGACAGTAACCTGTCATTCACTATCCCTGACATTTGTTACATTCCTGACGCTAATCTGATGTAATCCGATGAAACCCGCTAACCCAAAACCAGAAAACATCGGACCCAATGTTTCTACCTTCAGATATTATGATTTTCAGGAGGTGTGAGGCTCCTTTGGTTGTCACCAATGTTCTGGGGTTCTCCGCATTTTGGTCTTGGGGTTCTTGCGGGATGGATAAGGCTCTGCAGCCTAGGACTAGTCCAATTGTGGGCTCAGGCCAGAGGCCGTGCTTTGCTGGCCATAGCATACTGGCTAGGTGCTATATTCTTCTCCTCGTTTGGATGTCACATTGCGTTATGATGTGGTCCATGGATTCAGAGTCTTCTCCACATGCCTGGCATCGGGCT